AAGCCTATAATTATTCAAAATAATCAACTAATAACAAACAACAATATTACATCCATCCAAAGAATTTACTGGTTATTGTTCAGTTTCCACAACTCACCTAAAACGCACTTAAAAACGTTCTTAAACTGTTCTTTGACATCAATACTACAACTCGCTTAAATAACTTTTTTGTCGCCGAGGCTTCCTTACTCGCTAAAACATCGAGACAACAGGGTAATTGTTATCAGCAATAATTCCTACTCACTAGGGGACAGAGTGGGAATCCGGGGTTTTGGGTGGGGAGAAAAAGTCGCTTAAACATCGAGACAAAAGGGTAATTTCATGGGAAGATGGGTAATTTGTACAACGAATATGGGATTTTTTTTAATTATGCGGGATAAAGTACCTAAAATGAGATAAAAATCAAAATTACTGGGGATCTCTGCAATACTCTGTGGATGCACTCATTGATTGGTTCTACATGTGGAAATTTTGCCTAAATTCAACTAAATGTGGAGACCAAAATATTTTTCTTGAAAAAACATACATTGCCACATGAAATTTAAATATAACTGTAATGTAACTTTCTACCGTGGAACCCTGATGACCAGGCCATAAAATATCTTGGAGTTTGGCTGGACAAAAAGCTTAATTGGAACTACCACGTTTATAAAAAAACTGTCCCAAGGTTATGCATGCATAGCAAAGCGTTTCCCTTTGGTCAATAGGAAATCTACTCTGAAGCCAGCAGTTCTAATCTACAAATCAATAAGTCGGCCTTTTATTACGTATGCATCTCCTATCTGGGGATTATCTAGATAAAAAAACAAACTCTTCAAAATTCAAGTGATCCAAAAAAAAATTCTAAGAATAGCTGTGAATGCTCCCTGGTTTGTAAGAAACAGGCATATACAAGCGAGGAGCTAGGATTAAAGTCTATCTCGGCCTTTATAGAAAAGATCACCTCTAAATTTCTTAAGTCTTTAGACAATGTTCCTGGTGCACTAGCTTTTCATCTTGGCGAAGCAACTGAGAACAGAAGGCTACGTCGAAGGCTTCCTCAAGATCTATTTCACGAATTAAACCTAAAGAAGATTAAATATTTTTTCCTACAGTTACCTAACAATGTACATGTTCTCTCACTGATTTGAGAAAGCAAAGTGGCCAATTCACTCATCAGTGAGACAATTTTAACATTGTCTCACTCTAATTACTTTGTCTCACTCCAGATTTGCAACGTGAAGGCACGAAATAGTGAGCGCGTAACCTGCAGGCAACGTCGTATGCGCGCGAAATACGTTGGCAGCACTGGCTGTAAATCAGCTGGTCAGCTGTTGTACTGTTGTATTTGTCACTTCACATTAAATGTTATATTAAAAGTTCACTTTTGTGTAAAAATAGGTTATGTTTCTTCACAAATTTATTTGTTTTATGGTAACTGTAGGAAAAGTATAATGTGCAACTCGAGTTCAAAGTACAATTGCCTCACTCGAGAAACCATTCCTCACTCGCCTACGGCTCGTGAGTAAGGATTTCTCTCGAGTGAGTCAATTGCTCACTTTTCTCACTAGTTGCACAAATAACTATTATCTAAATTAATTATGTTACAGGGTGTCTTTAGGTCTGGGCGAACCCACGATGTTCTTATTTGTTATTTTCTTGTTAATTTTGTTAACACTTCTGTGAATAATGTCATCAGTGAACTAGAAATAAATGCTGTAAAAAAATACCCCCGCCGCAGCAAACCTGCGGACTAAGCGAATTTCCATTTGCCTGATTGGATTTACACTAAAATGTACATCTAAAGTTACCTACTTAAAAATATAACATTCATTTCCTAGTTAGAATTGGTTTAACAAGTACCTAGGTTTGCTGCATCAGGGAGGGTAAAACTGTTTTTTTGTAAAATGTTCATAGTTAGAAATAAAAACATTTTCCAAATTTGATCAAAATATGTTCATAAACAAGCAAACTACAACAGTTTACTTGTTCTCCATAAGAATAACATGGCGATTTTAAATTTAAATTTTTTTGGAATTTTCTCCGTAACTATTAGGTGGATAATAACCCTTTGATATACAAAATTATTTGGTTTTTTTTTAATGGCGTTTAGAATGGCGTCAATTTTAAATTGTAACTAACTTACTACGATATACAAAATATTATAAGTTAATAAAAACTTCTATGTACATGAAATTAGACCTAGAGGTAAGTTTATGACATTACATTAATAAAAAAAACTCATCTAGAGAGTACAACGAATTGGAAAGCATTAATCTTTTAAGTTTTTTCTTAAAAACACTAAAATCTTCTGTGGATTTCAAATCTACCAAAAGAGCATTATAGAATCTAATACCTGCATAGGAAGGTTTCTTTTCATATAATTTAAGATTGTGACTTGTAAAGCAAATACTCTATTGTTTCTAGTATTATAACTATGGTTTTGCCCTAACGTTTCTATTCTATGAGAATTCTTTTCTATAAACAAAATAAGTTCAAAAATGTATAGACTATATACAGTCATAAATCCTAATTCGGTAAATAGTTGTTTAACAGAATCATCCCAATTTAGCTTTAAAATTATTCTTATTGCTTGTTTTAAAAAAATAAGAAGTTTATCTAAATTTTCTTTTGACGTATTACCATATAAAACAATACCAAAAGCGATGAGACTGTACTATAGGGCATGATAAAGGGTTGTCATTGTAACCAAGCTGCTAAATTTAGAAACATTCCTTAATGCAAATAAACCAGAAGCTAACTTTTTAGAAATTGATAAAATATGATTATTCCAATTTAAGTTTTTGTCTATTATTAGACCCAAAAATCTAGAATCGTCCACCTCTTCCAACTCGTGATCATTAAGAAACATTGTCAATTTAGGTGCAGGTCTAATTCTAGAGCAAAATAAGCTGTAAAAGTGATAAATTTAGTTTTATTAGGATTCGGTAGCAAGCATTTTTCGTAAAGAGCCTTTTCTAAGGTTGAAATCTGGTTAAAAGCGGTAACTTCGATTTTATCAAAAGTTTTACGTGATATCAGCAAATTTATATCATCTGCATACATTGTGATATTATCAAAAGGTGTGGTGCTAGGCAAACCCTTAAGATAGCATAGAAAAAGTAATGGGCCTAGAATGGAGCCTTGAGGGACTCCGAATTTGATATCTTTCATAATTGAATTAGTGTATTCATTGATTGAAATGATTAAGATGTTTAATTTCAACAAACTGTTTTCTGCTTTTTTAAATATGAGTCAAACCATGAAAAATCCCTATTTTTTATCCCCAGTTTTTGAAGGACTACGAGTAACGCTGTCAAATGCTTGACTAAAATCCATAAAAATACCAATTGTTTTATAACCCTTATCCAAAGAATTTAAAGCTGACTCAATAAAATCAATGCTAGCAGTTATTACTGATTTCCCGGCCCTAAAACCATGCTACTCTTTGTCTAACAGTTTGTTACCTCTAAAAAATCTGTTAACTGAATAGCCATAACTCGTTCATAAATTTGGGAAAATACAAGAAGTAATGACAGTGGGCGATAATTTGAAACTTCTTTACAATCATCTGCCTGAAATAGAGGTTTTCCTTTAGAAATTTTCAACTTGTCCGGAAAAATACCTGATATAAAAGATGAATTTATTGCATGACACAACGGTAGTAACGGATATGATCTGGCATGTTTTATGATTGTTATAAGAATATCATTATAACCGGTTGAAAACTGATTGTTGAAGGACATGATTGCTTTTTCCAGCTGATGAGGCTCTATTATAGTTGGAACAGAAACTTAATCAGTATAATTAGGCAAAGAAATGTTGGAAGAAGCTGCAACTTGATTCAACTTCGGAATTACATTTGTCTCAACTAGAGTTAAAGTTCCCTTTAGAAAATAATTACGACCTTAAATAATTTATGAAATAATGGATAGTTTTGCACAAGGCTTCTCGTCATCACGAACATTTTAAGTATATGGTTTATGGGGGTGTGACTTTTAGTTTTCTCAAAAGTTCATGGGTATTTTAATTGGGATTTATATATGGATTAGGTAACTATTGTATTCCTAGTATTAAAACCGAATAGTGAACCACAAGTCATACAATCTACCCGGAATGTAAGAGAAGATTTTAGTCGACTCACTCAAATGTGGTGATGAAACGCGCATGACATTACACAAGCTTCAGAAATAAAAATCTTCAAAATGCTGGAATGGGATGATTAGGTCGCAATATATATAGTCAATGTTTATTCTATGTTTGAGTTCCATAATGCCATCACGTTTTATTCAAGACATAATGCCGAGAGTTGTGATTCAGTCGTGGTGACATAAATTATATTGAACTATTGGGTAAGTTTAACTAAACTACTTTATTTTTCTTGTTAACATTGCGAAAGAGCCTAATACCACGGGTTCCTTACGTCCACGGGTATATATGAGCGGTAGAAATGTTCTCAACAATTTTGTAATATTCTTAACTATGAGAATTTGTTTTAATTGAAGTCAAGATAAAACCCATTCCATCCCCATTGTTAATTTGTAGCTAGGTTTTTTTATCAAAATTGTCGTAGTTGATTTGAGCCACTTAAAGATTGCGCTGATCTAAATTACTAAATTCTGTCGAGTACACAAACTTTTTTACCAAGTCAAACTTAGGGATTTAGGGGGTAAAATTTATGGTGTGCTATAGCAACTGTTATGACCCACCGGTTGGTCAGCAACAAAAATTAAGGACATAATAGACTTTTAGACACTAGCGCATTCTGTGACTGGCTCACACAACTACGTTCTTATTTAGTATGGTAATAGTCAATGGTAAACATTGGCGACAGCTGGTCCATATGATGGGATGTCTACTTCAGTATCCAATAGTCAAGATAAAATCATTGACCATTAATACATAAAACTAATCACTTATCCACTGGATTTTGTTTTTAAATACAGGTGTTTATTGTTGTTTATCTGTGTTGTTTTTCTGGAATCAAAATGTTTTGATTTTTACTGTGTTCAACACTTGAACAAACCATTATGAAATAATTTCATTTTGTTCGTTACTACAGTGGCCTATTATTGTGGTTTACAAGTTTGTACAATGTCTGCAGCTCGCACTGTTGTTATACTATGCCTTTGCCAAATATTGTTCATCAAAGTGTTGCGGACCAACGGTTTCAAATTCAAAGACAAAGTGACGTACGACGTATCAAAGTACTTCTACGACACAAACTACGAATGCTACAACCTTCATATAGACAAAGATCGTTTCCACATAATGAGGTGTAAAATAAATTACATGAAACCCGTTGTCTCGCCTAGCTGCATCTTTTGTCCAATGGGTTGTGCATTTTGCGCTAGTCCTATGGAACATTACACTTATGGAAGCTTCTCAACAAAATTGTGGGGTGCAAAAGGTGAGGTGTACAAATGCCACTTTCATAGTTTGCACGCGATTGAACCAAGAAAAATCAGAGCAAGAAAAGGAATTACTGAATCAGCCGACATTAAATGTGTCATTAAAGACCACTGCAAGAGTTCGCCGTGCCAAAACCTGGGGACATGTGTCAAGACGTATTATTCATACACCTGCTTTTGTACGAAGGAATACTACGGGAAGAATTGCGAAAAGAAAGCTGGTAATGTCTTAACTTATCTTGTTTTGTAATGTCGTGTCATTACAACAAACTTACTTAGTTTTATTTTCCTAGTACGGTACCTACCTAATTTTCCTGGTTTTAAATCTAAACATAAAACTTAGGCTAGTTGTTTAGAAAATATTGCAATCGAAAACTAATTTAAACTGATATATATATCCTGAATATATCCTGATTCCTGACATGTACTCTGATATGTTCGCTTTGGGGCGGTCGTGCTAGTAAACCAACATATCAGTCCATGGCCTACCTTCCACCGGCGCCGCACGTGTCATGTCTTTTTTAAATTACGCGTTTTTTCGTATTAGTGTTTCGTCCAATTAATGTTTAATTTTTTGTGTAGGCCTACTTGCAAGTGTTATTTGTGAACTTTAAACCTCTTGACGACCATTCCATGGAATAAATCAAATTAACATTTGACTTGAAGATGTGTTTGATCTGAACACGAAACAGCTATAGTCAACTAACTACAATCTAGGATCACTTGACGGATACAGGGAGGTAATTTAAACCTTTTTATTGCGTTAACACATTTGCCACTAACACAACATATAGAAAGACACGTGTGGCATTGTAGACGGCAGGGCGCGTCCAACAAACGCCTGCTTGTCTTTATTAAACGCCATTTTAAAGTCCATAATATCAGTCTGTAAATAGATACGGTACTATTTCTGGGGGAAATCATGGATGTAAGAACCTGATGTGTGGAAACGACCAATGCTGTTCGTTGAATAACGAGGTGCATGAAATCTCACAGGATACTTTGAGATTCAAACTTCAAATTTTATATTACATTTATAAGAGGCAGATTCTTGAGCTGCCTCAACAAATGGTTTTCCTTGTCGTGTTTGCATGGTTTTCCTCCCCATTAAGTGATTTAATTGTATTTATTGATGGTATGCCCATTGCGTTAGAACAGTGCCTCAGGGAAAATAAATTTATCGTTCTCATTAAGCAGTGCCTTATGGATAAAGGAAAGAAAACAATTAGATCTGTTTTTGAAATCTTATTATATCCTTTCAAAACAGTAACTTTTTTTTAAGAGGTTAGTAATTTTATATTTAACTTCCTTTAAAGGATGAAGTGTTTTATTAACTGAAAACATAAATGTAATAAATATATAACTTTAGATATTGGTATTCTTCTGTTATAGGTATACACCAAGTATTATACACACTACTCCAGCACCAGCACAGTGTAAATTAAATAATAATGTTATAGACACTAGGTCTGGTTATTAAAATGGGTCGCTGGAATTTTATCCCCCTGGAATTTTACCCCCTGGGCAAAGCTGACGTCACCATGACGTAGTAACCTGAGTGCTCTGAAGTTTGTTCGCGGGCGGAATTTTACCCCCGCAGATTTGGAAGTCTATTGGAAATTGACTGAGCGTGATAAATTAGATTAGCAATGAAAACTGGAATTCTACCCCCTGACCAAATAACTAGCATTTAGGCAACTGTAGCTGAATACCTGTTAATCGCCACCACTGACAATCGCTACCAACTTCGCTACGAGTCTCTACCTGCGACCGTGAGTCACCACCCTCACCGCTACGTGACGGCATACATTTTTCACCTCCCTTCACTAACCAAACCACCCTATTGGGAATGACCACTGAAGTAATACCTATAGTGCTATAATTCATTCTGTGTAAACGGTTCATAAACGGTTCTGTGTTTACGGTACTATAGTTTATACTACTGATGTTCGATACAGAAGTCGATGCAGATTTTTTAATTACATTTTTAGCTGATGTAGTTTGGTTGTAATGTAACTTATATTGTACGATAGGGGCTTCCTGCCGCGCCGCACCATGCGGATTCTGCCTCCAATCTCACTTTTAATAAAGTTTAGATATTCAAGTTTGGAGGTGTACAGAAAAGTTCCTAAACTTAGAAAACAAGGAGTACATTTAAATGTTCATAGTTTTATTCTTTGTATTAATCTAAAAACTAATATTGTTAACTCTTTTATAAAAATCAATATGACAGTCAGAATAAAAAGGAGCGCTGTTTTAAGAGTTTCAAAAACGATCTCGTGACTTTGATAATTCGTATATTGTAAACAAAAAGTCAGAACGTTACCAAATTTTTAATAAAACTAGTTGTTTCCAGTTAATAATATTAACTATACAGTATTTAAAAATCATTAAAATTTTTTAATTACCTTTTAACTTATCAATACGAAAAAAAGGAAGAACTTTTAAGCGCTTAGCTTTTAATTAACCATAAATAAAAATCTTAAGCTCAATACTGTTTTAATAAAGGTTTTAACAGAGTAGGCTTAGAATACTGACTGACAGACCAGTTAAAATGTTCATCTTACTTTTAAAATGTTAAATAAGAAACTCTTCACATACTATGTTTTTTGTAAACACTCTAACGTCTTCAGCCAGATGACCTTGGTTTCGTTGTTATTTACCACTAGTAGTACGCTTATTCTGCGTGTAACAGGATGAGTGAACATGAGCGCAATAATGAAAGAGTTTACCCACACCTAGCACACTTACCGGTGTCACTGGTGTACACAATAATGTTATTTGTATGGGCAATGGGCAAATCAACCCATGAGTCGGGGCAAATAATGGTGAGTCGGTGACTCAAGTCGGTAGCGTCACGCGAACTTCGGGCCCAAGGCAGCGATGTCGTGAGTTCGGATCCTGGTCACTGCCACTAAATTTTATCAGCACAGTTCACCTTTGTACTGTACCGGCTCACCAATTGCTTTGCTGTAAACGATCCACGCACGGGCTAGGTTAAAAGAGGCTGGACCAACCTCTTAAAAAAAACCAAATCTCAGTCAACAACAATCCTAACTTCTCGTCCATTAATTAACCAAAGTCATTGGTAATATACGTAACGTATTTCCTGTTTCCCTCTCTTCTCATAGCATTTATTATTGCAGATACGTTAATCTAACTGTCACAAAGAGTTCCCACACTCTGGACTGTTTACCTTGACTACTTCCTTTACCACTTCCTACGTCGTGGACCTGTTTCCCTCTCTTCTCACAGCATTTTATTATTGCAGATACATTAATCTAACTGTCACAAAGAGTTCCCACACTCCGGACTCCTCACCTCGACTACTCCCTTCATCACTTCCTACGTCGTAGACCTGTTTCCCTCCCTTCCTATAGCATTTTAGAATTTCAAATAGATTAATTTAACTTTCACAAAGGGTTCCCACACTCCGGACTGTTCACCTTGACTACATCCTTCACCACTTCCTACGTCGTGGACCTGTTTCCCTCCCTTCCTAGAGCATTTTAGAATTTCAAATAGATTAATTTAACTTTCACAAAGGGTTCCCACAATCCGGACTGCTCACATTGACTACAACCTTCACCGCTTCCTACGTCGTGGACCTGTTTCCCTCCCTTCCCATAGCATTTTAGTATTGCAGGTATATTAATCTAACTGTCAAAAGGGTTTCTACACTCCAGACTGCTCGCCTCGACTACTTCCATTACCACTTCCTACATCGTGGACCTGTTTCCCTCCCTTCCTATAGCATTTTAGTATTGCACGTATATTAATCTAACTGTCAAAAGGGTTTCTACTCTCCGGACTGCTCGCCTTGACTACTTCCATCACCGCTTCCTTCGTCGTGGACCTGTTTCCCTCCCTTCCGATTGCATTTTAGAATTGCAGTTACATTAATCTAACTATCACAAAGGGTTTTTACACTCCAGAATGCTCGCCTCAACTACTTCCATTACCACTTCCTACGTCGTGGACCTGTTTCCCTCCCTTCCCATAGCATTTTAATATTGCAGGTATATTAATCTAACTGTCAAAAGGGTTTCTACTCTCCGGACTGCTAGCCTTGACTACTTCCATCACCGCTTCCTTTGTCGTGCGTGGACCTGTTTCCCTCCCTTCCTATAGCATTTTAGTATTGCAGGTATATTAATCTAACTGTCACAAAGGGTTTCTACACTCCGGACTGCTCGCCTTGACTACTTCCATCACCGCTTCCGACGTCGTGGACCTGTTTCCTTCCCTTCCTATTGGAATTTAGAATTGCAGTTATATTAATCTAACTGCCACAAAGGGTTTCTACACTCCGGACTGCTCGCCTTGACTACTTCCTTTACCGCTTCTTACGTCGTGAACCTGTTTCCCTCCCTTCCCATAGCATTTTTAGAATTGCAGATACATTATTCTAATTGTCACAAAGGCTTCCCACACTCCGGACTGCTCACTTTGACTACTTCCTTCACCACTTCCTACATCGTGGACCTGTTTCTCTCCCTTCCCATAGCATATTTAGAATTGCAGATACATTATTCTAACTGTCATAAAGGCCCCCCACACTCCGCAGCGCTCGCCTTGACTACTTCCTTCACTATTTCCTTCACTACTTCCTACATCGTAGACCTGTTTCCCTATCTTTCCATAGCATTTAAGTATTACAGATACGTTAATTTAACAGTCATAAAGGGTTTCCGTACTCCTTTCTTTTCACTGCTCACCTTTCCGCTTTCTTTGCTACTCTCTACGTCGGGGACCTGTTCCCCCCCCCCCCCTTCGCATAGCATTTTAGTATAAAAATATACCAACATTTTTGAATATTTAATATTCAATGCCAACATTAAATTGAATAATGTAAAAAGCTGCTTTGTTCTAAATACATACATACCTATATACTTTTAATTAAAAGGCGAAATTTTAATACTGAACATAAACGGTATATAACTGCCGACTAATATTGTTAAGTTCAATTTATTATTATGAAAGTTGTGAGATTTAATTAGTTTAAATAACACTAGGGGAAACCCGTCGAAATCGACGGTTACTTTCAAGGCTTACGTTAATTCATCTAACTGCGATAAATTGGGTGAAATACAGTATACATATTTTGAGCATTTAGCATTGTTTAAAGAGTAATAAGTGTAAAAATAATAATAATATTAATTGCGTTAGTTGCCAAATTTGTTGATCATTCAATGAATAAAATATTCCCCATACCGTACGT